CTGGTTAAGGCCTACCTAAACCCCAACCTTCGGGTTTGGGAATACTTACCTTTGGTTAGTAGGGAATGGAAGAATGGTAGGAATAGTAGTTATAATTGCACCCCATTCCTCCATTCCGTGCTAACCAAAGGCAAGTTTGAACCCGCAGCCCGGAACAGCCAACACAAACGCTCCTCAGGGATGGCCTGGGCAAGTGCAAAGATACGTTGCTGAGGATATGTGGCATCTTATCGCTGCATAAGCCTTGAACCTCAACCAAGCCTTCATCCTGGCCCAAAAATCCTGAGTACCTAAACAGTAGCTCGTAGGGTGTCTATTTTAGGAAGTACTATGATGGTTTGGAAGCCATCCCCCATACAGGTACTTAGGACGCTTTAGATGAGGATCCTACAGCTTCAACAGTATCGGCTTGGGGGTGTTGTTTGTGATGCCTGTACAGAGATGGAAACTCTGCTTGGCAGGCTGGAAATGGTCTGTGCAATGAAAGGTTCGCAGTTTCCCCTAATGCCTAAAGCATTTTACTCCTATAGGCCTCAACCTCGTCCTAGTACCTCTACCTGAAGTCCTGCTTGTCAGATCTGTGTTCTCTGCCGTTTGGTCTCCTGCCCGCCCTAGCTTCGATTCACTTAGAAGGGCATCTGGGCTGCTCTACTACTTTATGTAGTGGCACAGTGCATCCCGCAAGAAGACACAGCGTCGGAGCTGTCAGCTGCGTCCGGGCTGTCGTCTTGCACACCCTCAGCACCTACTTCGTGGTGCATGTCGCATCGAGGTAGCTGGTTGTGTCGTGATCGAGTAGGGAGTTGTGCAACACCTACCGCCGGGACTCCGGAACAGAGGGGATGGAGTAACTGTCTTGCCCTGGGCAGCATCACCCTGAACCTGTAAACCCGAAGTCAACCTGACATGAAATAGGGGCCGTATTTCTCGGAATAGGGCTGCAGTTTCGGGGTACATTAGGGAGTTTATTGATCAGGGGTCTACATGAGCTCCCTGCCTGCAAAGAGATCACCGAAGCCATCTTAATATCAAAAAAGTTGACGGCCCACGGCCTGTCTCCGCCGTTGGCGCAAAACTCGAGCAAGGCAGCCGCCTTGAGAAGTTGATTTTGTTTTTAGGGTTTCCCTTTTAACTTGGCCCTGACGAACCTACCTGTTGAAGGACTTATATAAGGATTCATAACAAAAACTTCAGACGGGCAGGATATCTTTGGGTTTTACGGCTTACGATGATTGAGGTAAAGAGTTTAGGAACCCGGCGGGGCTCTTGTAGGGTGTCGTACGGATTCTAACGTGTTCGGTCGGTTCTGCAGCAGCTCACACAGGGTTTATGGAGTTGACTGTATAAAGCTCTATAACCCGATATTTGTAATGGGAGTATAATGTAAGTTTGAACATATGTCGAATGCAGTTCAAATGTTTACAATGGAGCCCCCCGCTTGGTTCCGCGATGGATCTATGGGAAACTGCTTACTTGCCGGGTTAGACAGTTAAGTAAAGGCCTCGTCCGGGTTTTGCAAAAATCTCGCTGCAGCTCTACAGAGCAAAAGCAAGTTCACGAGAGACAGCGGTTTGCAGAGGAAGGCAAAGGGCAGGGGGATTCTCCGGCTTGGCCGGTGTGGGGCATGGGTTGATCTTGATTGCAAGCCCGTGGCATAAGCATAGGTTTTGAAGAAATTTTAGTAGGCATCCAAACTGATTCGCACCAAACCCTAAACCCTAAACCCTAAACCCTAATAGCCGTACGCTTCCGTGTTGCTCAATTTCGCCGTGCAGTGTCAGCTCGAAGGGGCGGAGACGCATATTATTATCATTATTATTATTATTACGATTATCATTGTTATTATTATTATTATCATCATTATTATCATTATCATTATTATCATTATTATTACTATTACTATAGTAATAGTAATAATAATAATGATAAGAAGTCTGCGAAGTCTGATGTCGCGTTTAGAGGTTCGTAATAATCAACATAGTAGCAGTACTGCTGCTGCGCATTATTATCATACCTGCAATCAATCCCAATTAGAATCGTAAAACTTCTAACAGCGATCGTAGTAAGCCTGATGGTAACAACCATACTTACAATAACAACGTTATAACTAAGTATACAACAATAACAATACCAATGATAATAATATTATAAAGAATAACAAAGCAGAATGGCAATAAGAAGAATAATAATAATGATAATAATAATGATAATAATAATAATACTAATAATAAGACTAATTCTTTAACAGTGCGTGTGTTGCCGCCTTTCGCCGCAGCCGCTGACCAGACGGGGCTGCCCAAACACCAGGCTCCAGCTCCTGCCGGGATCTCCGAAAGCGTCGTTTAGTTTTTTTTTTGTTTTTTTGAGGGCCCTTTTCCTTCTTGCTACAGTCGGAATACCTGGTAGGTAGAGCCTTGGGCGAGGACCCACTAGCCATAGTTCGTTTAGGGTTTAGGGTCTAGGGTTTATCAACATTGTTAATGTTATTGGTAATAGTTTCTTATGCACATAAAGAAAACTATACTGTTGATATCATCATTGTTGATGCTTCTCCCTAGGGCTCCAATTACCTCAATAGTAGGTTACTGGGGTACATAACAGTTGGTTAGCAACCTACTATTTAGGTAACTGGAGCCCTTGGGATTTGGGGGTTTATTTTGCTTATAAGGACTTGCAAGTGCTCGAGCATCAAGCCTGTTAAAGGTTTATGTTAAAGGTTTAAAGGGGGTGTAGGGATTTGTGTAAGGCTTTGAGGATCAGGAGTGGTAGTCCAGGGTTTGCGGATATATATATATATATATATATATATACACATACATATATATATGTATATACACAGATGTGTGTGTATGTGCATACAGACGCATGCATGTACATGCTTATGTATATGTGGTTGCAATTGTGCATGGGCATGCATAACACATCACATGACACTATGTGCTATTCTACATTAACTTTCAGCAACTTCCCATCCAGCGTCACGAGCTGCAAAAAGATTATTCAATCGGATGACAAGATGGAGGCCCCGAAAAACAAGAATAAAATTTCTCAGGTCTTTTATGACGACTGCAGAAAAATTGCCCCAAACCCTGTTCTTAACTAGTAAGGACCCTCTATCAGTGGTACCCTCGCCCAATCTCCTCGAACTCCACCAGCTTAGGAAGCGCAAGAGCTTGCTCCCCCTGCTTGAGATGCTTCTCATAAGTAGAGCGACTATTATCGTTACAAGCATTATTAACATTAAAATGATGATGATAACATCGGTGATTATTGTTATGAGTACGTTTATCCGAGTTTTGAAGTCTCAAAGTTCTGTGAACTCCCAGGTGGACTTGTTGGATGGGCGACCCCAGAGAGGACCATGCTGGGAAAGGTGGAGTTCCCATGGGCCTTCCGCAAAGGCTCCGAAAGGGTTCAGGCGTTTAGGGTTTAGGGTTCAGGGTTTAGGGATTCGGGTTCAGGGTTTGTTTTAAGTGCAATGGGGCCTTTGGGTTCAGGGGTTTAGGGTTTCGGATTTAAGGCGTGAGGTTTAGGATTTAAGGTTTAGGAAACCATCCACCGAGGCTTCTTTGAGCTTTGGGTCCAGGTTGAGCTCCATACGGGGGATGAACCGTGCTGTACACCAGGTTCGGAGTTCGGGCATCAAGAGTTCAGGGCGTTGGGGCTTCTACTTTAAACTTAGGACCTATCGGATTTACGAGTTCGACTCTACGGAGAGAAGTACAGCATTAAACAAGCCCAAGGCGGTCGAGCACGCGATCTCCTGCAGCAATCAATGCTCAACCGAACCCGAGACCTCAACCCCTCGTGGTAGACCCTAAGTTGTGATGTAAATATGGGAGTTTCCGAAAATTCGGGCCTCCTCATTTTGGGGTCCTTATAATAAGGATCCAACTATTTAGGGTACTACATTAGGGCGCCCTATTTCCGGAAACTCCCATATTTGCGTTGTGGAATAACCTACGTATTTTACGGTTGGGATCCTTGTTGAAGACAGGGTAACTAACACAGGGACTGCATGTCAGGGTCAAGGTGGACTGGGAGCACGCCGCCACTGGCCATAGTAAACCTCGAGCATCAACACCTAGAACCCAAGAAACCCTAATCATAGCACGAATCCTAGACTCAAAACACTGAAGATTACAAACAACAACACCCTTACTCCTCGCTCCTCGCTCCAACTCGACCAGTCAGTGTGTCAATGATTGGTACTGGCATCCCGAAAACAGCCTCTATATCGTTACAGTAAAAGCCAGAAAGTTGGAATATGATTGTCCTAACCCATTTCTGGTAAATTATAAGGTATCCTACCCTGAAACCATATTCCAACTTTCTGGCTTCTACTGTAGACTATAACGATCTGTGGAAAACCCATTCTAATTGACACAGGGGCTTCAACCTTGAGACGAGGGCTTGGTCCATACGCTAATAACCCAAAGGGTCCTATGTACTGTTATGGGGAATACTTCCCTAAGTCACAATGGTAAGTTCTAATATGGAAACCCTACATTCTACTATATCGGTACATAGGGCCCTTTGGGTAAGCCTATTTGAGGGGCTACCAGGGAATGCAGTTGGCAATCATGTTATGAAGCCCTCAAAACTGTAACCCTTAAAGACTGTACTGCGTAACCCTTATATAGAACCCTAACTAAAACCTGATCTTTTAGTAACTCTGTTTCACGGCAATCCAAATAAACCCCCTTAAAGGAACCACGAACTCATTGCCCTAAACCCTACAGTAAACCCCATAAAGTTGGAAAACGGCTGAAGGCCACATAGTGCTGGGATCCCCTATACATTGCTCTTAGGGATTGAGGCTACGGGGTTTCCAACTTTGGGCTTCTACTTTAAACCTTATAAAACCTAAACCCTTTATGGTAAATTTTAGGGTATCCTACCCTGAAACCATATTCCAACTTTCTGGAGTTCCCTTTAAACCCTAAACCTTATAAACCCTAAACCCTTTACGGAGACGAGTAAAGAACTCAAAGGGCCTCGAGCACTTGGAGGCGTCGGGATGCGGAGGAAAGCACGATTTCAGCTCCCTCCTGCTTACGGCGTTGAGGGTTTAGGGTTCCCCAAAGGCTCCATGTACCTTCATACAAGATACTTAGGCCTTAAAGGGGTCCCTATATAGGCACTTTAAAGCCTAAGTATATACTATATGGGTACATGGAGCCTTAGGGTTCTATACACTATAAGGAGGGCCTTGTATGAGGGCTTTACGAGTGGGTAAGGGAGCTTACGGCTTTGAGGGTTGAGGGGTCTATGAAGCTTGGAGGAGGGCCTTCTATGAGGGCTTTGTGGAAGCTTCCGAAAATGGGGAACCCGAATATAATACTCTACAAAGTAGGATCCTTGTTATAAGGACCCAAAAGGTACCCCTAATTTTCGGAACTCTAATTTACTAAACCGTTACAGAGCCCTTCCAAGGGACCCGTATAGTTCCCTTACAGAAACCCTGTTAAGGAATCCCTTAAGGTACCCCAACCTTTCGGAAACCCCCTTATGAGCCAAAGGAAGGGATTTAGGGGCGACCTCCTGGAGCACGTCAAGTTGGGGGCCTGTGCCTGCCATCCTGAAACGTCGAAGCCCTAAACCCTACTGTAGGTGCCTTGAAAGGGATCCTTAAGGATTGCTTTGGATCTATAAAGGGTTTAGGGTTCATTATAGGGGCCTAAATAGTTACCTATACTTCAGCAGGGCTAGCATACTTGGGTCTTCGCAACCCCTTCACAAAGGATCAATGACAGCATGACTCGTTCGCGCGTGCCATCTGCAAGAACAAATTCCTGTTGACCTTCGGTTGCAGCACTCACAGAGTCAGCTAGTGCTGAGCAGTAATGCGGGTGTCGGTTTAATAGTGGGGTACCCCACTTACAAGACACCTCGCCCCAGTCATCTATGGAACCATTCCGCCAACTCGGCGCCCAAATCTCAAGCCCAAAAATCCCGAAACCCATATGCCAAAACCCCGTTATACCCATATGCCAAATATCAAGCCCAAAATCCCAGAAAAACCATGTTCCCAAATCCCCGTTATTCCTTAGCCCAAAATCTCAGCCCAAAATCCCAAGCCGTAAATCCCCGTAAAACAATATCCCGAAAATCCCAAGCCTAAACCCAAGAAAAAACACCTTCCCCCGTAAACCCCCGTTATTCCTTAACCCGGAAACCCAAGCCCAAAACCCAAGAATAACAATAAGCCTTAAAGTTGGGGCAAGCTCCCTTTAATGAAATTTAATATTATATAATAATAATAATATTAAACTACATTTTATGAATGCATGATAGCATAAAGTTTAGCATAACCAGCTTCCGAAATAGGTTGTGTCTGTGTTGTTTTCAATTTGTTGATATCCCATAGAGGTTTATCTTTTTGATTTTTAATGTGTTTTTGTGATCGAAGGTGTATGTTTAACCCGTGTCGTGTTATTTCACAATCGCACATGGGACAATGTATTTTGATTTGTCTGTATGCTCTTTTGTCTAAAATACACACTTTACAAACAGCCCTACCTTCATCAAATTCTGTAAGTTCTTTGTTCTTGTTACACCTTGAACACTTCCGTTGTTCAGTTTTCTCCGTATTCATCTCTACATACTAATGCCCCTATCTCTTTAAGCCGTTTTGTGTTACGTTCTCTCGTGGTTTGGGCAAGGTTGTTTTGCAAAACAAGGCTCTGACGTGCCAAACTGTCATATCATCACTATCATTTATATGAGAAATCCTTGTATATATGATAATGACCGAATGACACATTGCCAAACCATCATACGTATATGATGTTATCCCAGTTGCTCTTTGTCAAACCATCATACGTATATGATGTTATCCCAGTTGCTGTTTGCCAAACCATCATATGAACTTGATGATATACCGGTCGCTCTTTACCAATCAAAACGAAAATCATCACTAAACACATTGACTTTTTACACCTTTAATAACTCATGTCGCAAATAACCACGTCCATTAATATAATAATGTTTTTGTCCCAAAACAGTTTTAATATCATCAATGGTATAGGAATTGTCGCTCCAATTGCTCTTCCTTTCTTTATCCAACTTATCTTTTTTCCTAAATATTTTGACTTTTGACCCCGTCTCTATATCGGGATACTTTCGGGTTTTAGTTGCATTCATTGCGATATTAGCCTTAACTTTGAGTTCGTTTTCGGGCTTTCGTGCTTCTTTGGGCACTAACCCAGTCGCTGAATGAACCATTTTATTATTATATGTAAGCATAATTTCAAATATGTAATCTGTCCATTGAATATTCTCTTTACCTTTCTTTTCGTCGGCTTCAACTCTTTTAAACAACATATCTTTGAACGTGCGTATGAATCTCTCGCTAAAAGAACTGTGACCCCTTGTTTGATACGTTTCTATTTTCTCTTTATCAAAATATTCTTTTACTACGCTACTGTTTAAACTACCTTCCTCGTCTGAATATATTAGCTCGGGGGCTTTACCCATTTTGTTTATTCCTTCCATTATACCCGCTAATAAATCCGGTGGTTGCTTACTTTTAATCGGAACAACTACCGCGAATTTACTAAATATGTCTATCGTAACTAAGCCAATTCTAAACTTTTGATTCTTCAAATCATTATTTGTAATAAAAAATAAATCTATTTGATATTCATAATACGCATAAGGCGCAATAAACGAATTAAATCCTGACATTGGTCTTTTCCTATCTACGTTCTTTTCATACCATGCTTTAACATCCGCTAACTTAATACTCTTATCTTTAGCCTTAGCATCTTTAAAAGTTGTGGCAATGCTTCCGAACCCGCTTCTATCAAAATAAATATCCGAAATAATCTTATTTTTGTCTGACATTGATAATATATATAATATATATTATATATATTATCGAATTATCTTGCGCAACAATTACACATAACACACATGCTATTAACGTTGCTTATATAATGAGCCTTGTCATTGTTCAATCTATTAGCTGTTAAATTGGTAGTGAGCTTTTGGTCAACCCTTTCAACTACAAAGGGTTCATTACAGTCGGTGCATCTGTTTTTTAATTGACTCATAAGCCACTCGACATTTACATAGTCCTCTTCATTTACTGGGCGTCCTGCTTCTATATCTTGTGATTTGTATTGCTTAACCTTTTGGTTAAAATACCTTTCAATCTCCGATTGCTTAATGTCTCTTGTTATCTCATGTTTGTAAAACCTGATTTTGTTTAAATCCTTGGCTCTTGTGATTGCTGTATAAAGCCACTCTTTCGAAACGTAATTATACATCCAATCGTAAATAATAACATCGCCATCTATTGAACATCCCTGTTTACTATGACATGTGTAACACGACGCATAAATAAAATTTTGTCTCAACTTCTTTAGGCTTATTTCTTGTTGTATCCTTGTAGCCTCATTTAGAAGCGTTACCGTATTCTTATTTATTTCCGTTATTCTGAACTTAAGATTAACATTAAATTTAGATATCCAGTATCTCGTATAAACACGACAAATAACTTCGTCGCCTACGACATATTCTTCGTTTATACCTCTTTCTTTTCTAATATGTTGCGATACTTTTCTACATGTTTCGTTGGTGTATGCTACGTTATTATCAATGAGTTCTATCTCTTCTGTGTATTTAAAATACTTCTCAATAATCTGTTTAATTGTCATATCGGTTTTAAAAATATCGTGATAAATGTTTTTTAATTTGATTCTGTCTTCCTCTTTGGTTAGTCTCTTGCATTCTTCTAAATAAATGTAATGTTTAAAAATTTGTTTTATACAACTGTCTAAGTATGTCCTATAATCTTGCGTGTTGGTTATATCCACAACGCCCTGTAATTGATGTTCGTCTCCCGTTGCTACAATAATTTTATCGGGATTCTTTTCTACAAATGTTTTTATTCTTGCTAAAACTGGAATACTGTTAAAATAAATTTCGTCAAAAACGATAACATCAAAAAAGGAATGGTCAAAATCTTTCAATTTTTCTTCGCCGACTTGGATAGAAAAGAATGTATTAATGGTTACTGCTTCTACTCCGCATTCTTGATTTAAGTTGTTAGTCGGTGTTACGAACAATATGTTTTTATCTTGTATCTGCTTAGGTATATGTGACTTGCCCGACCCTGCGAACAAAGCTTTAATTAATACGTGCTTATGTTCGAGAACTTTCTCGACGGCTTCCTTGCTATCCCATTCGTCTTTTAATATAATTCTTTCATTAACAACTTCGGGTATGTTTATCGACTCGTTCTGTTTCATCTCATATTGCCGATGTGGGAATCCAAAATTATTTAAAACACCTTTCCAATCGCCGATGTCCTTACCAAACTTCAGTAACTTCATAGCTTTTTGTAAATTCTTCCTTAATATTGTGAAGGCATCTGTTTTAACGCTAAATACTTCTATCTCATTTTCTCGCAGTGTGTTATAATCCTTGTATATTCTGTAATTATGGTATTGGAGTAAAAGCTCCTTAATGTAACGATAGCCATTTTTCAAAACGGCGCGGTCTTCAACATTTAGAACGTAATATTTTCCTTTGTTTTTTGTATCTTCGTCTGGTGCTTCTTCTTCATTATCACTATCATAATCGCTATCATCCTCGCTATTAACTTCTTCTTCTTCTTTCTCGAACTGCTTAATAATATTAATCCTACCTCCATACATATGTTGATACAGCTGTGCTTCTCGCAAGTCCTTGAATAAAACCGATTTCTGAGCCGTTGTTACTCCCTTCTCTAATAAGCCGATATTCACATTTGCTATTTCTTTTTTAAGTTTGGTGTCTTCTTGGGTATCATCTGAGATATGGGTTTCTACTAATTCCTTAACAATCTTTTTATAATCACAATTATATATAAAGGAAGGCTTCTTATAATATTTAATGGTGATATCATCATTCAGAACATTTTTTAGAAACTTTCCGTAACAAAGGCAGAACCGCTTGTTGAAGAACAGATTAGCCTTATACACTTCCACCGTGTATAAGACTAAATCCTCAATTTCCTCGCCATTGTATTTTATCCATTTGTCGAATTGGTTAAATACTGGTA